ATAACATTATCGATAAGTTTAACTTGTTTGCTTAAATAAGTTTTCACATAACGTGATCGATAAAGAGTCTAAGAATTGACATATTCACATTAAGTTATGGTGAACTATTTTTCGATCAAGTTATCGATCACTGGTTTTTCGATAATGTGATCGATCATTCAATTCCTCGGATTTCATGGTTTCACAAAACGTGATCGATAATCATTTCCTTTACCTTACAGGATTAAACTTCTTTCTTCACTATTATCGATCACTTGTTCGAATGATCAATGATCGATCAACTGTTCGATCATTTCAGATAGCCTGTGTCTTTCATTGATTATTTACATAACCATGTTTTATCGATAATATTATCCATCATACATTTATCGATAAGATGTTCGATCATCAATGACTGAAGCTTCATTTCAATAACATTTGAATTATCGATAATCTGTTCGATCAAATATGTGTTCGATCAATTGTTCGATCATGGAACGATTTCCTCTTTCTATGATAATTCTTAAAGTCAATGATCCAACACTTGATCGATAATTTTAGTGATCTATTTCGAAAAGTCTTCATTCCGTTTATCGATAACTTGATCTATCATCAAGTAATCGATCACTTTTTCGATCAAACTAAACCGGAATGACACTATGTTCTTCTTGCTAATAAATGATTTCGTCACAAATCCTTGAATGATAAATTAGCCTTCTTTCTGTATTCAAGATTAAAGCACTCACCACAAAACTCTCATTTGTTCGAATCTTAAAATATGCAGATTAATGAAAACGAGTGCAACGGCTCTTCAACGGGATTGCGTAGACTGCGACCTACAGTGTCAGAAACTCAGACGCATTAATGGCGGAGTCGTTGAAACCAGCGAAACACGCAAACAAAGTCACAACGGCTAGAAGCTCTTCCGTCTAACGGCTACTTAACGGTATCAACTATAAAAGGCGCGAAGAAGCATTAATGAAGAGATTGAATACCTGAACTACCATCTGCGATTATTTAGTTACGCATTCAATACTCTGTTTTTCACGTTACTACTGAGCATCAGTGTTTATCATTGAATTCACTCTGTAAGAGAGCCATTCACTACTTTTATTAAAAACTTGAGAGACACTCAAGAGTGTGGACTCTTGAGAGGGGTTGTATCCTTACGGGAGTAAGGGGGAGTGATTGAGCGATTCAATTACTGTACCGAGGCACCAAGAGCCCTGTCGATCTTGGAAGATAGTGAAATACTCAGAGGTGTTCTGGGGACTGGAAGTAGGTCACGTGGTTCAGACCGAACCAGTATAAATCTTGTGTCTCCTCTCTGCGGTTAAAATTCTCCTTACTCTGACTCTCTGTTTTATTCAATACTTGCACGCTTTTAATTTTAAATTTTTGTAACTCACCCAATTCACCCCCCTCTTGGGTGAGATTGTTTCTAACAATTTAAACCCTTTTTTCTTTACCTAAATCAGCATGTTTTTGAAAACCAATTTAATCTAGGTTTTTCCAATAAAGCACTCCTCGAGAAGAATGATTGGTTGTGCCCTATACTGCATTATCTGGCACAATCACAATCTTGATGACCTAAAAGGTGACATTTTAGTTTGATCAAAGGCGCAGTTGTCGAGGAGCCAAGAAATTAGTTCCCTAGCAATTGGTTTTCAATATCATTATGATTTGGGTCAATTCTTGTTGAGCTTTAGTTTTTAGGCATTAATTTTGCATTTCATAGCATAAAAATTTTTGAGAAATAGAAACAAATATCTTGTTTTTCCATACTTTTGCATTTGCATTCTTGCACAGCATTTTGCATTTTGTTCTAACTTGATCCTGAGTGTTTTGGCCAATTGCTTAAAGGTTTTGAACTTTGTGCATAGTTAATTGAGAATTTGGTTGAAGTACTTAGTGAATTTTTCAAAGCTTTTGCGAAAGTAACTTTTTGTGTCTTGAAGTTGCGACCTCAGTTTCTTCAAGTTGTGACCTCAATGTTCAAGTCACGACCTGACTTGTGTCTGTCACACCTTACTATTAGATTCACTTAGGGTTTAATTAAAACCATTTTGGACCATATTGGATGGTCTTGGGCTCAATTTTATTATAAAAACGCTAATTTTCGGATTGTTACTGTTCATCAGGTAAAAAATTTAGTTTTCTGGCCCAATTCAAAAATTCATAACTTAATCTAGAAAAATTGAAATAGAGTGGTTCAAAATTTTATAAAAAGCTCTTTGAATTTTCTTTCAAGAAAAAATAATCTTGTGAATGAATTCTATTTACAAAAGTGTCAGATTTTTGTGGAAGTCACCTCTGTCTATTTGGCAAAAACCCTTTTTCCAGATTCTGAATCTCAACTTTGAAAAATCATTAAAAATTGTATAGTTGGCCATTTTTAATGTACTACCTATTTATTTGAAGCTCATGAAGTGAGATTTAAGCATACTAAATTTCACGAAGAAATTCATTCACAAACTTAATAAAACATGACTCTAATTTGGCATCCTGCTTAGGGATTACAACACCAACCATACATACTTATACATCAACCAAATATAAATATTTCCTCATGGTTCATCACCATATTTATCCTTGGATTGCAGCTTCCTGTTTGATGATTCCATCCCTAAAATATTAGGTTACATATGGGGGATGAAATTTCAATGAAATCCTAGTAGCAAGATCAATCAACCAAAACATCAACATGCATTAATTACAAGTATTCCAACCTTTTGCTATTAATAAGGAACTACTTTACCTCATATATGTAGCACTCTAACATGCAATGGGTAAGGCACATAAAGCAAGGAGTATAGCTACACAATCATCATCATCATCATCATTTAGCTCAACCACATAATAGCTCATGAAATTGCATAGCAATCAATGCAACACTCAACATTAAGGTTAATTAAATCTTATTACCTTAATCCAAATGCTCTTGATCCTTTAACCTTTTCCTTTTTCTCCACAATTAACAAACCCTGATCATGATATATCACAAAAATGGTAGCAAGGTTACCAACCATTCCATATAAAATCAACAACATAATTTAAGTAACTCCAAAACCCTTTAAAGCTTCCATCTTTGTTCTTAGAATTTTCAGAGTTTATTCCTTTAACCCTAAAAGTTCCCTCTTGACTCATTCTTACATGATTTTTCATGTAGATTCCAAATATCTACTTAGATTTAAGAAAATAAAACTCCCTCTTCTAGTTTTAGCTTAACCGAACCACTATGGTTCATTTTCTAAAAATTACAACTTTAGCTTTAATGCTTCCAACCTTCATTCTTTAGGTTTATCCTACACTATTTTCCGTTTTGAACACAATAGAAGCATCAAAACATTGAAAAACTCATCCTAGGGTCCAATTCTTGCTTTGACCAAAATGAACCTCAAGAGAAACATCAAAGAAAACACTTCAAAAACTACTTACAACCACTTGTAATCACAAGAATCTATCATGCTTTGAAGTGTTCTAGGAAGTTTTAACAACCAAACTTCCTTTCCTACTTATTAAACATTTCAGCCAGCTCCAAATAAAGAGGGAAAACTAGAAATTTTAACCATACAAAGCATGAAAACAAGACAAGGAATAACTTGAAACCAACAACTAACCTTAAATCTCACTTAGATGATCAAAGTTGCTCCCTTTCTCTTGATTTCTCCATCAAGCTCTCTCTTTTCGCTCACCTTTCTCACTTGGCCTAAATATAGTCTGAAAATAGGGGGAGGATTGCTCATTTAATGTGCACAAAATATCTCACCTACTAACATTAGTGAGAAGCCAAGTGTCAAAAGCCTACTCCTTCTTGAAATTTCCCTCTTAATCACTTAATTCCAATTGTAATTAATTTCCAAAAGTCAAACTCTCCTCCACTTGAGGCTTGACACCTGAGAAGCTTTAATTAGCATCTATTAGAGGCTTGAAAAATGGCAACTTTTGGGTCAAGTAAAGTGCAAGACTCTAGTCTTCACTTTATTGGTGCACTTTTACTCCGAGTTTAATTTTTTTTCTATAATTACAGTACTTTGGCCTTTGTAATTATTTTCTATCAAATCCATAAATTATTCTCCTCATTTTTATCTTCCTAAATTTTCCCTCTTTGTCTTAAAATTAATTTCCCAATAATTAACTAAAAAGGAAAACTAATTTCTTTTTCTTTATTGATTTTTCTACTTTTCAAAGGAATTAAGAAAAATTTTAGATACTTGAGGGTCTTCTTTTAATCCCATAATTTCTTATAATTCCTTGGAACATCACAAGAATTTTCTTGGGATTTTATGCTCTTTTCAAATATTTATTAAGAATTTTCCAAATAAAAGGCCATAAACTAGCTTAAATCATCCTTAAATTCCTTTGTAATTTCTCTAAGAGCAATTTGATCATAAAATCAAATTTATAATCCCATATAATTCTCAAGGAACATTGTCCTTATTTTTTCTTAATTTTCCAAGACTTGAAAATATTTTTTCATAATTATCTTTGACCAATTTTTCATAATCAACTAGGAAAATTTTAATAATTATTTTCCACTATAAATCTTCTATTCCTCCTTATCTTTTTTGGCCCTTGAATGCTTAGGAATATCCTTATTCCTAATTGCCACATTATTGGATGTGATATTTCTCCCTCCTTAAATAAATTTTGTCCTCAAAATTTGAAGCGTATCCTGTTAGAAAAGTTCAGGATGCTTTTCCTCTATCTTAGTCTCCATCTCCCGTGTAGCTTTTTCCAGTGTAAGACCTTTCCAGACAACCTCGACCAATAGAATATGTCTGTTTCTCAGCTGTTCGACTTTTTGATCAATGATTCGCTCTAGTCTGATCTCAAAAGGCAGGTTGTCCTGGATCACAATATCATCATAACTTATGACACATGTCGGGTCTAGATGGTACTTTTTTAATTAGGAGACAAGGAAGACATCATGAATTTGACTCAAATTCAGGGGAAGGTTATAAGCTACTGGTCCAGCCTTGGACAAGATTTGAAACGGTCCAACATACTTTGAACTTAACTTCTTAAGCTTTAGGGATCGACTGACTTCTATTGTTGGTTACACTTTAATCACCAACCTTAATCTTTAACGGTCTCCTTTAATGTCTGGGTAGCTCTTTTGTCTACTTTGAGCTGTTAGAAGTCTTTGCTGAATAACTTTAATCTATTGGGAAGTCTGATCCACTATATTAGGACCATACTTACTTCTTTTATTGAGCTATATCCAGTACAAGGGAGATCTACACTTCCTCCCATAGAGTGCTTCATATGGTGCCATTCAGATACTTGAATGGAAATGGTTATCTTAACCAAATTTGGTTAACGGTAAGTACGTATCCTAGTTACTGCTAAAATCAAGCATGTATGCGTGTAGCATATCTTCTAACATCTGCATCATTCTCCGTGTGTGTTCATCCGTCTCAGGATGGTAGGTTGTATTGAATCTGAGAGTAGTGTCCATTTCCTTCTATAAGGACTTCCAAACTTCGAACAAATCTCGGGTCTTAGTCTGAAACCATACTGCTTAGGACACTCATTAGCCTACTAGCTTCCTTAACTTTCATCTTCCATTATTTGCTAGACTTAGTGCATTCTTGCCAAGATGGTTAACATTTCTGGCTTTTGCACCTTCTCTCACTACTTCCCAGGGTCACCCTTCCTTGGGCTACTCTTGCCTAACACGCTTAACTAAACAGTGCTGACAGGAAACTGAGACACTATTTCTGATAGGCTCAAACCTTGGTACTTTACTGTCTTAGACCCTTCTCGATCTATCTTTAGTTGGGTCTTTTCAACTTATCTTCTTGTCTCTCGCCTTATCTTAAGAATCTACCCGTCAATACTCAGTCTGTCTTTATGTCATATGGGTTCTTCCTGTATCTAGAACTAGCCTGAATGTCTCTTTTTCAGGTCTTACAGCTCTAGTTCTTCTAACTTTGGCTTTCCATTGTTAATCAGAAGGAAATTAAATCCAGCCTAATTAATGATAAGCTTGTCTGGAAGGAAGTCATGGGTACTCTCTTGGTATCAGTTTACAGCCGAAGGAGGTTTCTATATTTCTAACTCATCCTTGGTCTTTATCTTCCCAAAATGGTACCATATTCTTAAGATCTTTAGGAGACTTTTGGCCATAGGACTAAGTAAAGTTACCTCCTCTCAATTGGTCACCTAACTGATAATTTTCCAAAACTGTTTCAAGAAACAATACCATTCTCTTAGGCCTCATGTTAATTCTCCAAGCCATCTATTTGTCTCTTTAGGTGCCTAAGCCAATCTACCTTAGGAGTTCTCTTATTTTTCTTAGTTGTTCTTACTGTCTCTTACTATTTTAGAGCGGTATAGAGAGAGGACTTATACAACTTCTCTTTCCTCTATTTTACCTTTCAGTATGAGCATACTCTACATGCATAATGCCTAGCATTTCACTGCAAGGAGTACAAGCTCTTACTGGTTGCTATGCCTGTAGCGTGCCATCTAGACATCTTATCCCTACAAAAGGGAGCCTCTCTTTCTGTTTGCAGCTGCTTCTGCTTGCTCTAATACTTTGCTAAGCTCAGGTATATCTAAGCTTGGCTTTGTGCTTAGCTAGTCATGCTTCCATTGGGTAAGGTCAACTTCGCTTGCCTTGCCTCGGCTACTTCCCTTTCCCGCTCGGATAGGGCATCTTGCTCCATCTTGAGCAACATCAATTCTAACTTGGAGGACCAATTCCCATTTTCTTTGGGAAGATTCCTGGCCAAGACGTTATCCCTTGACAAAATGTGCCTCTCAACCTAAACCCCAAGCGACTGAGTATCTCTTAACATTAAGGGGAACATGCCAACCTCTAAGCTAATTCCCTACATAGCTATATGTCTCGTCCTCTTCTTCTTGATCCTTAAGACATTTCACTAGGGCTCTACATTTTAACTTCACTATCTCAAAGTTCCTATTCATCTATTCCAAGACTTGAGATTGCTACTGTATCATGGTGCCCTAGCCTTAACGAGGCTGTAAGAGTTTGTCCAACTTAGGTGGCCACTTACACCTTCTTAGTGGTTGATTTTCCAAACCTATTCCAGACCTTGGAGGTTAAATCAAAATTTTTATCCAAGGATTGCACTATAGGGTGCAACCTCGGGTCGTTTCACTTAAACGAAGCCTTAGCAAAATAAACCTAAGTTAACTTAAATGTCATACAATGCAAACTTGAACATAAACAGGGGGTTTTCATTGTAACATCCTGATTTTTAGGCCGAGAAGTATCAGAAATAGCCTGAATGGGATAGGCTACTAGACCCCTTTTTAGTAGAGGTCCTAAAGATGAGAAAGGAAGTTAAAGCAGTTTCAGGGACTAAACTGCAAAGTAAAAGTTTTAAGGGACTAAAATGTAATCAAAGTTAGAGGCTCCAGTAAAGTCTCAAAGGCCCAGAAAGAGAAAAGAGGCTAGATATAGACCAAAGGTTAAGTTAGAAGCCTCAAAGAGATGGTTTTATGAGGTTAAGCCTAAGCAGGGGTAAAACCGTAAATTTAGAAAGTTACGGCCATCAGGAGTAAAAATGAAAAGTACTTAGAAAATTCTAAGAAAGTCCCAGAAAATGGGAAATAATATTCTATGGCTCTTTTGTGAAGAGAGATAATGAAAATACCCCTGAGATAACTTAAAAGGAATTCATAAGTTTATGGCTCAGTTTGAGATATAGAGGTAGATTTAATTGTTTGAGTCATAAGGAAACCTTAGAAAATTATGACAAAATAGGGATGTATGATCTAAGAGACTGTAGAAAATTATAAAATTAGTCTCATCCCCAGAAGACCAGCAAAATGGCTTTAAGAATACTTAAAAGCCAATTATGCCGAGAAAGGGCATTTTAAAGAATGATTTTTAAGTGGGGCTACAAGTTGAGTTATGGCCTGAGAAATGCTGTTTTTAATATGTTCCCATGGCCATGCATTTTTATACCAAGCATAAAGCATGATGGCATGTCACTAGTTAACTTAAGTTTATGAAAAACTACATACCATACACTAGCATCCATCTTGTGCATGTATGTGGTAATGTTTGCTACTGAGATTCCCCCGAATCTCACCCCTCGTAACCAACCATTTAGGTTAATCAACGATGGGCAATAATGGCATGAGAAGCAAGAAGAAGTAAGCGGAGAATTATTCTTGTTAATGGATGAGACTGTTGATGAATGTATAATTCTCCTATTTTGTAAACTATGTTATGGATGCCAATGATGCCATGTATTTAATTATAATGTTTATGGCATGAATAGAAATGTATGAGAATGAATGGGAAAAAGTAATCCCAAGTTATGCATGTCAAAGAAATAAAAAGAATTAAAGTAAAGAGTAGTTAAGGGGCAAAACGTAGGTCCTGGGGTAGTGAGTTTGTAGCTCCAGTTTCACCTAGCAAATGAATGAGTTTAGCCACAAGATTTGGTATACATATAGTACACATCCCAAGATTTAAAGTGAGAGGTATATCACCTCCATTGGACGTGTACACAAGGAGATACGAATTTTCAAAGTTGAGGCACATAATCTCAAAGTTCCAGATTTTACCAAATGAACAGTAATCTTTATTGATTAAACTGTACGAATTGGGCAAAGATGAGTCCAATTGGATATTTTTTTCATAAAGAGATTTCAAAGAGCTTTCAGTATAATTTTAGAACACCTCAATACGATTTTTATAGAATTAGTTATGATTTTTCAAAGTTGGACCTGTAATCTGAAATTTAAACAGTGAATAGTAACTCGAGTAATTATGTCGAAATTTTTAATCCAAGGGCTTGTGTCGTGATCTGCTTGAACGATAACGCTTACAAATGCACACTCTGAGGGGTTAAAGGTAGGATGTTTCATTCATTTTTTGAAATCATTAAATAAATTGAATGAATGATAAACCAAATATTTTTGGATTTTGAGGAAATGAATAATGAATGCAGGTAGACAATAACCAAATAGTGATGAAGTTCCTCTTGAAAGTGTGCTCAGGCTGTTGATGAAGCCTTATCGTTATGAGCTCTCAAAAATACTAGAATTAAGCTTAGAAGTGCAGTGGCTCAACCCTAGTTCGATTCACAAGGAGGCTTGTTGTTCAAGAGTTTTGTTAATTAAATGCCTTCACAAATTATTAACAGTGAAAGTGATCTGGTTATTTATATTGATTTTCTGGTTTTGCAAATGTAGAATGTAAATGTTTATATCTTTTGGTTTATCTAAGTGAGAAATTGTGAAGCGAATGAGTAATAGAACATCAGATATGAGTGAAGTGTTCTCCTAGAAATGTGCTCTACCTTCCTAGTCCACTTATGGATGCAGGAGTTCAACAACCAAATCAAGACTTGGCCAACAACTCGTTGGGCTTCCTCACTGTTAAGACTACAACTCGTATGAATCAACAACAAGGTTAGAATCATTCAGCTTAGGAAAAATAAAATGATAAATCAATCCTCCTGTGACAATCACAACCGTGCATTGTCTTAAAAATATGTTGAATTGATTATGAGAACTAAAACAACTTGTCCAGAAACCACAATGTAATACAACTAAGGAATCAGAAGGAACAATCTCAACTTGATCTTGCAAATGAAATATCATTCTACCAATCCTAATCAGATTCAACAACTCCAGTGAAAAAGTAAATCAAAATCAAATCCTGAACTACAACTTGAATTGAACAACTCGCTCAATCAATCTATAGATTCAGACTAGAGCTAAGAATCTAGAAGAAACTCCCTTCAATCGAATCAGGGACTCAGGCTTTGCTTCATTTCTAGGAAGAACACAGACGCTTAGCTGCTCATGGCTGTAAGGAGAACTACACCGAGACGCTCCCAAATCACCATGGCAGAAACTTCACGGAAGAAGAGGAGATGATGGTGAGATGAAGAAAAATGGATGAGACGGAGAGAGTATCCAATGGAGAAGTTCTCCTAAGCCCAGAAAAAGATCGATCCCCTCCATTCTCATCTCCCCTTGCAACTAACGCCCAAAATCTAGTTAGGATCCGCGCCTTTCAGGATGGAGCTCTAAGATCTGGCT